TAAAAAATTTTCATAATAATAGTTGCACACAATATTATATATAATGCATTTTTTTTATAGATTTGGAGTCTTAGTTTTACTACAAGAAAATGAGAAAATTCTAACAATAATTACAACAAATATAACGATTTTCTTATGTTGATTTTAGAAAAATCTTGACTTTTGGTTTCTTAAAATATATTTTGCCTTATTGTGATTGCATAGATTTATTAAAATGTATTACAAATGAGAAAGATGATAGATTATGTAAAGTATAATTTATAAATTGCAATGACATGTTATTTTGATGGTATATTTTTTCTATTAGCTAAATAATGCTCCCAATATGAAATTATTTTGGATCTATCACTGCAATTATCTTTCCAATGGAACTTCTATTGAAGTTTTGCATAATACCAATGACAATTTTTTCAGTGATTGAAATATGGTCCAAAAATAAATTCCAATAGAAATTCAAGTAATTGAAATCTTTACATCCACTAAAGTTCATGTAATTTAATTTGAACTCTATTGGAATAGCCAATGAAAGCAACATATTCGTTGAAATTTTCAGTAGAATACCTTACCGTTGAATTTTTATTGCAGTATAGCAAAGTTTTTGTAGTCCTCTCAAACATTATTTTTATGTAGTATCTATTGAGTAATTGTGTTTACAATTTTTCTATTAGAAATATATTAAACACGTGAACTTTTTAGTTCTATATATATTTTTTTTTTTCAGAAATCCCTCATTATTTTATCTCAAGATTACCTATTAATTTACCAATTGAGTTACATTTCTTACATATTAAATATTATATAATTAAAATATTTTTTGTTTTATCTGTTCAATATCATACTTATATATTACATTAAAAAAAACTATTACAGTAAATAAAAAAGTTATTTAAAATTAGAATAATAAAGATTTTTTTTTTTTTTCTAATCAACATGTATAAATGTACAAATAACTATTGTCTATCACTTTAAATTTACATATAAAATTAATAAGAACAAAAAACTAACAAGTATTTAACAATTCAGTTTGATTACATCGATAAGTATATTTTTATAAGGTTTATATTTAGTTATATTAATTATATTATTTTTGTTTATTAGTTTGTTTTATATTTATTAGTACGTGTCACAACTTAGTTATTATTCATATTATTTCTTATATTTAATATTTTTTTAAAACTTTATCTTGTTCTTTCACATGTTCTTAATTGTAGATTTGTCAAAAAAGACATAATATAAAGAATAGAATTTTTTTCGATCATCTGCCTCATTATATGTCAAATATTTGTATATCCTATATTATATTATATCTAATTATAATTTTTTATTAATATTTTAATTAAATATTTACAATTCATAAATTCATTAATAATATTGTCGAGTCAACTTTTGTTCATAAAATTTTTAAAAATATATTATTTTCATTGATTTGCTTATGTTGAATTGAGAAAAGTTATGTTTTTTAATTACATATAGGGAGGATACAGGATTTCAAATTTTTTTTATGTAGTATTTATTGAGTAATTGTGTTTACAATTTTTCTATTAAAATTATATTAAAAACGTGAACTTTTTAGTTCCTATAATTTTTTTTTTCAGAAATCACTCATTATTTTATCCCAAGATTACCTATTAATTTACCAATTGAGTTACATTTCTTACATATTAAATATTATATAATTAAAATATTTCTTGTTTTATCTGTTCAATATGATACTTATATATTATATTAAGAAAACTAATATATTAAATAAAAAAGTTATTTAAAATTAGAATAATAAATATTTTTTTTTCTAACTATTGTCTATCACCTCAAATTTACACATAAAATTAATAAGAACAAAAACTAACAAGCGTTTAACAACTTAGTTCGATTACATCGATAAGTATATTTTTAGAAGGTTTATATTTAGTTATATTAATCATATTATTTTTGTTTATTAGTTTGTTTTATATTTATTAGTACGTGTCACAACTTAGTTATTATTCATATTATTTCTTATATTTAATATCTTTTTAAAATTTTATCTTGTTCTTTCACATGTTTTTAACTGTAAATTTGTCAAAAAAGACATAATATAAAGTATAGAATTTTTCCGATCATCTGCCTCATTATATATCAAATATTTGTATATTCTATATTATATTATATATAATTACAATTTTTTAATTAATATTTTAAGATTTCTTATATTTTTTATGTATTATTTATTGAGTATTTATTTTTACAATTTTTCTATAAAAAATATATTAAACACGTGAATTTTTTAGTTCCTATAATTTTTTTTTTTTCAGAAATCAATCAGTATTTTTTATCCCAAGATTACCTATTAATTTACCAATTGAGTTACATTTCTTACATATTAAATATTATATAATTAAAATATTTCTTGTTTTATCTGTTCAATATGATACTTATATATTATATTAAAAAAACTAATATAATAAATAAAAAAGTTATTCAAAATTATAATAATAAAGATTTTTTTCTAATCTACATGTATAAATGTACAAATAACTATTGTCTATCACCTCAAATTTACACATAAAATTAATAACAACAAAAAACTAACAAGCGTTTAACAACTCAGTTCGATTACATCGATATATTTTTAGAAGGTTTATATTTAGTTATATTAAATATATTATTTTTTTTTATTAGTTTGTTTTATATTTATTAGTACGTGTCACAACTTAGTTATTATTCATATTATTTCTTATATTTAATATTTTTTTAAACCTTTATCTTGTTCTTTCACATGTTCTTAACTGTAGATTTGTCAAAAAAGACATAATATAAAGTATAGAATTTTTTCGATCATCTGCCTCATTATATATCACATATTTGAATATTCTATATTATATTATATTTAATTACAATTTTTTAATTAATATTTTAATTAAATATTTATAATTCATAAATTCATTAATAATATTGTCGAGTCAACTTTTGTTCATAAAATTTTTAAAAATATATTATTTCATTGATTTCTTATGTTGAATTGAGAAAAGTTATGTTTTTTAATTATATATAGGGAGGATATAAGATTTCTTATATTTTTATGTAGTATTTATTGTGTAATTGTGTTTACAATTTTTCTATTAAAAATATATTAAACACGTGAATTTTTTAGTTCCTATAATTTTCTTTTTCATAAATCACTCATTATTTTACCCCAAGATTACTTATTAATTTAACAATTGAGTTTTATCCCAAGATTACCTATTAATTTACCAATTGGGTTACATTTCTTACATATTAAATATTATATAATTAAAATATTTCTTGTTTTATCTGTTCAATATGATACTTATATATTATACTAAAAAAACTAATATAGTAAATAAAAAAGTTATTTAAAATTATAATAATAAAGATTTTTTTTTTTCTAATCTACATGTATAAATGTACAAATAACTATTGTCTATCACCTCAAATTTACACATAAAATTAATAAGAACAAAAAACTAACAAGCATTTAACAACTCAGTTCGATTACATCGATAAGTATATTTTTAGAAGGTTTATATTTAGTTATATTAATTATATTGTTTTTTTATTAGTTTGTTTTATATTTATTAGTGTGTCACAACTTAGTTATATTCATATTATTTCTTATATTTAAAATTTTT